ATTTTAAAATCAATTTACATTAATCTGCTATTATAATTTTACCCCTATTTAATTAAGTTTTTGGACAATAATGCTCTTATATTTAAAACAAATTGCAAATCACCACCGCCACTCAACCACCATCGCCAACAGTTGGCCAACCACCGCCGATCGTAGCTGCCGAGAGTTGCTGGAAGTCGTTGAAAATCGTCGAGAGTCACCGTAAGCAGCCGATATGGTTGTTTTTGACCATATTGATGGCCAGATTGCTATAGATCTAGTAAAAAATTGCCAAATCCATGGACATTAATAGCTAGAAATGGCCATGGATCTGGTCGGAGATGGTTAGAATAGATCTGGCCATTTTCGACCAGATCTATTGCCATTTGGCCATTTTCGGCCATCAATGTGGTCGGAAATGGCCATATCAGCCACTCACGATGATTTCCAATGACTTCTAATGGCTATAGGCGATAGCCGACAACTGGCCGTGGTGGCTGGCGATCAGCAGTGGCTTGTGATGGGTGGGGGTGATTTTGTTATAAATTAAAGTTTTATATAAGATGGAGTGTTTTAGCTAAATCTGAAATGTTGGGGGTTAAAAGAAATTATTCAAAAATATTAAAAAATGAGGACAATTTAGTAATTTATATAACATACCCACTAATTTATTCCCTTCAACCAAATATATTAATATAATATATCTACTAATTTATTCTAACTGTTAAAACACATTTCTCTAAAGATTTTCAGTAAACTTTAAGGTATTCTAACTTTCCATTATTATAACATTCTCAATAATCCAACATTCTCTGAACCAGACGCACCTTTAGAGTTAATTTCACCGACCTCCTTGACGTTTTTATTATTATTAACAAAACTTCCGAGAATTTAAATATGATTATAAACTTATATTTTCTTGATAAATTTCGTGTTTAAATAAGAAATTTTAAACATAAGCCATTATGTTTAAGGTTAATGATTTGTTATCATATTACAAATTTGTTGATATTAATTAAAAAAATTATCAAACCGATTAGTTTAAATTTAAGCTTTCAAGAAAAAATAATTTTTTTTTTAAATTTGTTAAAGTTTTGTGACAAGAGTAATGCTACACTTTCGGTGTCTCTATTATTTTACTTATGACTGACGCAAATCTTATAGAGCATATGGTTATTTAGTAAATATGTGAAAAAATAGGGGTAATTATGACAATCAATATCGTTTATAACACGTACATTGAAAACTGTCCGCGCGTTGATTCTTACGGGGGCCCACCACTATAAAGAAAGTGGGTGTATCTTTCTTAAATCATATTCTAAACTTGGTTTTGGTGTTTCTACTTTTGTTTTTCTTTTTTAATTGAAATAATTCGTCAAGATAATTCTTTTGACTTGTATTTACTCCATTTTATTATAATATACTTTATAGATTCTAGCACATTTTTCTTATTTATTTATTTATTATTATTGTTATTATTTTTAGCATAGAATTTATACTCAAATGAATTTATATTCGGTAATTGGTTTCTTTATATTTGAAACTTGCATTAAAATTTCCTTTAATTAGATTAAAGATATTGCTATTTTGACTTATATGTTCTGTTCACATTGTTATGAAATATCAATATTGACTTCATATTGTTTGAATAGTAATCTAAGTTAGGTTGTCAATTTTAATTATTTCTTTGTTTAAAATTATAAGTCAAAATTTGATAATTAAGCATTTGAATAAAATAAGACGTATGGAAATAGATAGGTATATATTATATTATTTAATTATAAAATTATGACAATAATTCTAGACTTTGTGGTATAATTTGGTGAGTCAATCTCAGTTGTGTGAACCAACAGAAGATTTATAAAAAAGAGGTTGATATAAATAGGGTTTTATATAATTAATAAATAGATAAATTTTCAAAAGGATATTTTTAGTAATTAAATTAAGCAAATCTTTAGAAATTTTCATAGAAATAAAAGTAATTTCTATATTCTTTATTTGTTTTCACCACACATTTTTATATTTTTTTTTTTTTAATTCAAGTCTGCAAGATTTATTTTTGTATGAATTTGCATATATTAACTTATATATTACTAAAAACTCTAAAATCTATAATTTGTCATTATAAACAGATGACAAAGACATTTCAATATATATATATAATTGAACAGCCATTTGTACATCTCTCAACTAATTCTTGAGGTTCATTAACCTTACAGCTCAATGGATCAAGTTAGTCACAAATGTGGTAGATAATCATTGTGGAACTCGAAAAAAGACTTTGAGTAATACATGGCATATTAGATTTGTTAAATTGTCGGCAGCTTTACAAGTTGCGCATGAATAATTTCATAGTGCCACCCATAGTTGTTTAGTGGTCCATAAATTTATGTGTAAGAATTTTTTAATTTTCAGAAAAAATTAGAATAAAATTGTATCAATCGAACTCAAAATGAACAGTATCATAAAAGTGGCATTGCATTTGGAGCAATCGTGACTTCAAATCAATCATAATGGTTTCCAATTTTAGTAGACATGGATATGACAACCCAACCCAATAGTTATTAAACGATTACAATCTAAATCTAGGTGGAAAATTAATTAATTTAAACTACTAACTGCCTAATTAATAAAGAAGACAAAGAAACCACCCCATGAAAACTCTTTAAATATTGATAGTAACTTAGGATCTTGTTTCAAGTTACAGGAATGTTATATCATATTCACAATTACTTATCATTTACTTTAAGGTGTTTGTAAACCTGGGATTAATTGATCTCCCATGCGGTCTAAATACCTCCTATACTAATTAAAAAAAAAAAAAAAAAAGACAAAGATTTCTTAGATGGATGGTTGCATTTCCATTTGTTATCATGATTTATCAATTTTAATTGAGACCCATGTTTTCAACCTACACACTGGTGCTCTACAATTTTTAATGCTTGCTTATTAATTATTTATGACATATCCTCTGCACCAATGCCTTCATAATTTATTTAGATCACTTCAGATCTTAAGTAAATACATTTTGGTACTGCAAGAGGTTTGGTCTAACTAAACAGTATCTAGATGGAATCTGTATAATAACTTTTACAATAACACTATGGACACCGAAAAAGTTACTCCGAATTTTTGTACCGGTTTACGTGTAACACGCGTCTCAATTTTTTTATAATTTTTTTCTAGTGAACGGCCGTCCTCACATTTGGACGGCCGTTCTCTCATATGGACGTCTGTCCATATTAATGGATGGGCGTCCATATACAAGGGACGAGCCCCCATTTAAAGGACGCCCGTCCCTGATTAAAATACAATTAAAAAATTTGAAAACATTAGGGATGACTGTTCATCCATTATGGACGGTTGTCCTTTACTTTGGACAGACGTCCACAATAATGGACGCCCTCTTGACCCAAATATGAAAAAAAAAAACTTTTGGGACGGTCGTCCATAAATTTGGACGGTCGTCCCTACGTTTGGACGGATGTCCATTAGGAATGGATGTCTGTCCCTTACATTTGGATGGGCCTCCATTAGAAATGAACGCTCGCCATTTTTATAAAAAAGCAGCGTGGAGCTGGGCATTCGGGCTCTGCTTTTTTCTTTCTTCTTCTCCTGAAACACGCTGCCAGCTGCACATGTGCTGTGCTTCTTCCTCCTATATTATGCACCAAATTCATGAGGACTTAAAAAAGAAAGCATGCAACAAAAGACGTTGTTTTTCTATAAAGGGATAATTAACCAAGAACAAATAAAAATATTAGTGAATAATACTAAAGAAACCAAAAGAGAAAAAAAGGAAGAAGAGGGAGAGGGAAAAGGAAAGGGAACCCACTATCTTTGTTCTTCTCTCCTTTCCAACTTAGGTAAGTACTTGAAGTTGGATCTCTGGTTAGAGAGGAAGAGAGAGAGAGAAAGAGAAGAAGAGGGAAGAGAGAAGTTAGTTTGATTAGAAAAGAAGTGAGACTGGTGCGAGATTTAAGAGGTGAAAGATAAAGGTCCAAATGGGGAGATAAGGTCAAACTCATTAGTTAATCTCCCGCTTGCTTTTTGCAGCTCATTCATGAGAAATTGTAATTGAAGCTGCAACTGGTCCCATTGGGAAAGAGCTTTTTGAAAAAGAACAGAAGACCTTCTAGCTGATCTGAAAGCATTCCGAAAAAGGCTTGTGATCCCGAGTGAGTTAGTTTCATTTTTTCTCTATTAGTAAAGGTGTAAAGAAAACAGTCATCGCCCATCCACTCCTTTTCCATATAATCTTTACTTCAAAATATTTCCTCAAAGATGCTTCTTGAAGGGGATTCTGATTGCATTTTTCCTCATGAGTCAATGAATTCGTGAAATGAGCCAAGCTGCCAATACATGCTTATATCATCTCATCTTAGAAAGGAGATGGGAACGAAGACGAAGAAAAAGAGAGGAGATGGGGAATGAAGACGAAGAAGAGTGTTTTTGTTTAGGATTTTTTTTTTTTTTTTATTAGAGTATGGACGGGCATCCATTTCTAATGGATGCCTGTCCAAATGTAAATGTAAGGGACGACGTCCATTCCTAATGGACGTCCGTCCACACGTAATAAAAAAAATTTTAAATAAAAAACCGTCAGTTCATTAAAAATTCAAAATCAAAGTACACCGATTAAATACATAAACACACTAAAAAATGCTAAATTAAATAAAAATTCAAATAACCAAGAAAAAATTCAAATAATCCATCAATTATTAACAGTGATAAAACTTTAAAACTAAAATTAAATTAAAATAATAAATAAATAAAAAGTTTGCAGCATATCCCGAGTCCCGACAAGTGGACGCTACCAACCCGTTAACTTTACCGTGCCAGCTGTATTACCAATAATAACTTAGTGGCTCACTACAAACAGTTAATCACGATAACGGTATCGCAACTTCATACCGTCACGGTAACAGTACCGGAACTTCGTATTCAGTTACCAGAACATTCCCTTCCCCAGAAAAACACAACAAAAAAATCAGTACATATAACAACAACCGTGAGCTTACCTGTTCTTCGCCCATCAACTGCTGCAACCTTTCCTTCAACTCCGGCCCGTACCGTCCACCGCTCTTCGAATTAATAAACACAACAACCGGCGCCTCGGGGGGCTCGGCCTCAACGACGTCGTTTCCGTCAACGATTAACTGACTCTCCGTCTCAGCCTCGTCGACGCTCTTCCGTTTAATGGCGTCATGCAGGGCGTGTCGCAGGTACTCCGGTATCGAGAGTCGCCGCTTGAGCTCCTCCTTGTCTATTCGCATCCCGGACAAGCCGCAGCTCCGGAACGAGTCAATCATCGACGATCTCGCCGCGATACGCGTCGTGGACGACGGCGAGTCCATCGGAAAAGAGAAGCTTTGGAACAGTCAAAGACTAGTCACACTCAAGACTCCAGAGAAACGAATGAATGAATGGAGAATATCAAAATGGAGCAATTTGTTTAATATTAAAAGTTGAGACGGAAATCATTTAATTTTAGTTAAAAGTTAAAATTTTAAAAAGCTAGTAAAGTATGAAAAAGAAGGCGGGGGTTTAAGTGCAAGGTTTTCAAAGTCAGTGGGATTTAAGTGAAACACTGTGTTGTGTGAAGAAATTTTGAAATGTAATAATGATTAATGAGAATACAATATCTGTTTAGTTGTTAAATACTTTTAATTATACTCAACTGCCAGCTTGGCCTATCAGGCTATCAACAAGATTATTTTTATTTTTTTTAGAATTTTTTTTTTTTTCTGTTGGGATTTGATTTAGGAGATAATCATTTTTAGAAATTTTTTATTACTTAAATTTAGAGATAAATGAAATGAATGGTAAACATATAAAATTGTCGTATCAGTTTGAATAAATTAGTTTGTATAATAAATTAATATGTGTAACATTGCTAAAATAAAATAAATTTATATTTATTTGTTTAATGATTTTTTATATGATATAAAATTATAAATCCATAACTATGAGCCAAATTAATTTCGAGATTCTTAAGAGATGATTGTTATAACTTAAAATATTGGATTAGGATTAAAATAAAGAAAAAAGAAATCACTTGTTTAGTTTTGACATAAATTTAAGTCCTTAGATTAATGTATTTGAATTATTAAAATGAGTTAACCACTTTTTCCCATCCAAATAATGACTTAATGTCATTTTTTCCACCCACACATTTTTAAATATCATTTTACAACCCAAATTTATATTTCATTTACTACCCAAAATATTCGACAATGAACGGAAAGCAAACTCAGTCTAAGCTATTTGGGGTTTTTGATGGGGGGAGGTTGTTGAGTCTTGGTGGGCAAGTTGGATTTTGATGGTCGAGATTGATCAAAATTTGACTTGAGAGGAACGGCTACGTAAATATTAATCGCTCGATTAACGAGGTCAGCTGAAGCAAAGTTTGAAGGGTTTTGGTGAGTGATAATCGGGGAAGGAAATGGCGGTGGTGTGGGGTAGCACAAATGATGAAATCGACCAATAAGCGTGCTCCCGCCGACCTCACTAATAACCAACTGATTCTAGCATCATTACGACCCCAAACCACTACCATTCTCTTCCCCGATTATCACTCACCAAAACCCCTCAAACCTTACTTATGTCGACCCCGTCAATCGTTAATAATCGAGTGATTAGGGTTTATATAATCACCCCTCCTAAGTCAAATTCTGACCAATCATGACTACCAAAATCTAACAAGCCACTATCAAAAAACTCACCGATCTCCCCTCTTTAAAAGCTCCTTGGATTAAATTTGTTCTTCATTCGCCGTTGAATCGGAAAGTATATTTTGGGTAGTAAATGGAATATAAATTTGGCTAGTAAAATGGTATTTTAAAAGTTTGAAGGTAAAAAAGTGTCGTTAAACCATTGTTTGGGTGGGAAAAAATTGTCTACTTTATTAAAATTGATTTATTTACAAGTTGCATTAATTTTGTAAGTTATATTGTATCTCGGCCATCCAAATATTAATATAAAATTAGTGATTAAATCATATTTTGAATAACATCCATATACATAAATCAAAATAATGTGCTTTCTTTTTCTTTATATTTGAAACTTGCATTAAAATATTCCTTTTAATTAGATTAAAAAGATAATTGCTATTTTGACTTATATGTTCTGTTCACATTGTTATGAAAATATCAATATTGACTTCATATTGTTTTAATAGTAATCTAAGTTAGGTTGTCAATTTTAATATATTTCTTTGTTTAAAATTATAAGTCAAAATTTTGATAATTAAGCATTTGAATAAAATAAAGATGTATTGGAAAATAGATAGGTATATATTATATTATTTAAATTATAAAATTATGAGCAATGAATTCTAGACTTTGTGGTATAATTTTGGTGAGTCAATCTCGAGTTGTGTGAACCAACAAGAAGATAATATAAAAAAGAGAGGTTGATATAAATAGGGTTTTATATAATTAATAAATAGATAAATTTTCAAAAGGATATTTTTAGTAATTAAATTAAAGCAAATCATTTAGAAATTTTCATAGAAATAAAAGTAAATTTCTATATTCTTTATTTGTTTTCACCAAACAATTTTTATATTTTTTTTTTTTAATTTCAATGTCATGCATAGATTATTTTTGTATGAAATTTGCATATATTAACTTATATAATTACTAAAAACTCTTAAAATCTTATAATTTGTCATTATAAACAAGATGACAAAGTATGCGTTTGGTTTAATATTTTTATCCCTATTCTGGATCCTATTTTTCAAATAGCGTTTGGTACAATATTCTCAAAATATTACCCTATTTTTTTTAATTACATTTTAACCCCATAAGATTATTAATTTCACTAAATACCCCCTGAAAAAAAAGTTTAAAAATTAACAAAAACACCCCCATCAACCCAACTTGTCAGATTCCGGCAACCACCGTCGGTGATCGCCGGAATCTGTACAACGGCCAAACTTCCGACCAGAAATGGCCGGAAGTTCACCGCTGTGGCCTTTTCCGGCCAGATCCACCACGGATCTGGCCGGAAAAGGCCAGATCTGGCCGTCAGCGACGGCCAAAGAAATGGCCGTCGTTGACGGTCAACGACGGCCAAATCTTGGCCGTCGTTGACCGAAAACGACGGCCACATCTTTGGCCGTCGCTGACGGCCAAGATGGCAGTCGTTTGGCCTTTTCCGCCGTCGACGGCCAATACAAACCGTAGATGGCCTTTTCCGGCCAGATCCACCATGGCTCTAGCCGAAAAAGGCCATAACGACGTGTTACGGCACATCCGATAAGTCTGTGCGTAACAAAATTTTCCGCCAGATTCCGCGGTGGTGGCCGGAATCTGACACTGCAGATGTGGGGGTGTTTTGTCATTTTACATGTTAGGGTCTTTATATAAATTAGTAACCTAAGGGCTTTTTTAAAATTTTTTAAAATTTACCTTGTAATACTCCCATATCCAATAACCCAATACTACCCTAAAATCCTACCCAAATACTAAACCAAACGCACCCAAAGACATTTCAATATATATATATATATATATATTGGACAGCCAATTTGTACGCATCTCAACTAATTCTTAGGTTCATTAACCTTACAAGCTCAATGGATCAAGTTAGTCCAAATTGGTAGATAATCATTTTGTGGAACTCGAAATAAGACTTCTGAGTAATACATGGCATTAGATTTGTTAAATTGTCGGCAGCTTTACAGCTTGCGCTGAATAATTTCATAGTGACCACCATAGTTGTTTAGTGGTCCATAAATTTAATGTGTAAGAATTTTTTAATTTTCAGAAAAAATTTAGAATAAATTGTATCAATCGAACTCAAAATGAACAGTATCATAAAGTGCATTGCATTTGGAGCAATCGTGACTTCAAATCAATCATAATGGTTTCCATTTTAGTAGACATGGAATGACAACCCAACCCAATAGTTATTAAACGATTACATCTAAATCTAGGTGGAAAATTAATTAATTTAAACTACTAACTACCTAATTAATAATAAGACAAAGAAACCACTCCGCATGGTAAACTCTTTAAATACTGGAGTTAGTTATACTTAGGGACTTGTGTTCAAGTTACAGAAGATGTTACCTATCAATTCGCACAATTATCTTGGTCTATTTAACTTGTAAGGTGTTTCGTAAACCGGGGATTAAATTGCTCCAATGCAGGTCTAAATACCTCCTATACCTAATAAAAAAAAAAAAAAAGACAAAGATTTACTTAGATGGATGGTTGCATTTCCATTTGTTATCATGATTTATCAATTTTAATTGAGACCCATGTTTTCAACCTACCGCACATGGTGCTCTACAATTTTTAATGCTTGCTTATTAATTTATTTATGACATATCCTCTGCACCAATGCCTTCATAATTTATTTAAAGATCACTTCAGATCTTATGAGGTAAATACATTTTGGTACTGCAAGAGGTTTGGTCTAACTAAACAGTATCTAGTGGAATCTGTATAATAACTTTTAACGCGTTGTAAGGTAACACTTATTTAAAATATTATTGTAAGCGTCTAAAATACCCCCAATATTTTCTTATGTGAATGAAATTAAAAATTAATATAATTGTAAAAAATATGAACAACTAGAACAATTACATTAATTATAAGAAAATAAAATGTGACAAATTAAGGGTTCTTTAGACATTCAAAAAAAATAATTCAAAAGACTGATATCTAACAAAGATCTAAATGTCACTATTAAATTCTTCTGGACCTATTAGTAGGCCATACCTCATGGACCAAAATATATTTAACTCCAAATCTTATCATAGATCTTAATCATGTGCTCCACACTATGTGACTTCACTCCATGCCCCTGATTCTTTTCCTTTAGGGTGTGTTTGGTTAGAGGTAATGTTGGATTACTAAGGTAATGTCATTTTATATTACTTAATTATTACGTTTGGTTATCAAGTACTATAAGATTCCGATAATTTTTTAATACCAATAGTAGTTACTGCTGGTAATATATGATGTAATCTGATTATTTCAATTTTCTTAGATATCTTAAGATTACTTAGTTATCTTATTTTTATTACAATTTTACTCCTTATTAATAATTTTTTTGGATAATAATGCCCTTATTTTAAAATCAATTTACATTAATCTGTCATTATAATTTTATCTCTATTTAATTAAGTTTTTGGACAATAATGTTCTTATATTTAAAACAAATTGCAAATCACCACCGCCACTCAACCACCATTGCTGGCAGTTGGCCAACCACCGCCGATCGTCGTTGCCGAGAGTTGCTGGAAGTCATTGGAAATCGTCGAGAGTCACCGTGATGGCCGATATGGCTGTTTTCGACCATATTGATGGCCAGATTGCTATAGATCTAGTAAAAAATGGCCGGATCCATGGACATTAATAGCCAGAAATGGCCATGGATCTGGTTGGAGATGGCTAGAATAGATTTGGCCATTTTCGACCAAATTTATGGCGGTTTGGCCATT